GTTTTCGTGAAAGTTGCAAATTGATTGGTTATAAATTTCTCAGACCGAGTAGGAATATGAACGCATAAAATTATGGAATGCCATTTATTATTTCCCCTGAGGCATCCTGTAATGCAACGTCTTTAACTATACAGATATCGTTTATGTATGAATACAGTGATGGCTGTATGCCCTTGCACCTTTATAATCGCATCATTTATATATTATGTTATATATTATACATATATGTATATCGTACATCGCACGCAAATTGTAAAGACATGTCTTTAAAAAGAGAATGACGCTTCATGCATGAAGCGTCATTCTCTTTTTGCGTTGCAAATAAACAATAAGCGATATGCGCTGTGATTATTAGATTTAAAATTCCCGTACTTCTTAAGATACTTTCAGAAATGCCGAGATATCTTCTGCAGCATCGATAAATGCTCAACCTTGCCAACAAGGCACGCAGTTCGCGTTTCGCCGGGTGTCACACATACCGGTATTCTGAAACAAGAAGACGTAGATAATAACTTAGATAATAACAAAGAAATAGATGGAGAGTCGACTAACTTCTGGTTAACAGTTAACCAGAAAATGAAAGACCGGGCGCAAGAGGTTGGAGCAACCGGCCCTTGGGGAATTTAAATGGGGGAGGAAAGGAAAGAGAAAGAAAAGATAAACCTTAACGACAACGACAGACATTTCCGATGTCGAAGCTCGAACCTCCCGTGACATCGCGGAATAAATCCCTACTGTTTCCTGCAGTTTCCCCTCTATTTTTGGAAGGACCGCTTTCGTGCCTTCGCGAGCGTGACGCGGTACCATGTCGCGGAGCGATTGTTACGCACGCGAGTAAAGGGCGACAGATTAAAAACGACAACCGGTCGAGGGGGTTCAGGCGACCCCGACGTTTTGTCACGAAGTCAAGTACCGACGTCCGTGGAGAAGCGGCGAATTGAAATTCGCCCGGCCACGTGTCAGGTGAAGCACCCGGAGACGACAATACGCACGTGCGTCCGTGCGGCTCGTAACTGGATACGACGACGCGGGAGGGTTCTATCGTTCGGTTATCGTAGGGTGATACGAGGCCGCGACTCTTGGAGAGTCCACACGTGACGCACTTGTAGATCACAAAAGCAGTGTCGTGTTTCGGAGTAAGGTCGATTCCTCGCTTTTGCCTCGTACGTGCTTATTGATTTGTTATAACACGACAAACGCTAACTCGTAAGACACAGAATACCCTCTCGCCTAATCTTAGCGGCTAACAATTCCGAATTGTAAGAACCTTCCAAGTAAAATCAATCTTTCAGATAATTTAATAACGGAGAATAAACCACTTCTGGCTTTAATTACTGAAATAGAGAAGGTGATCGACGATGTTTTACCGCCCGCGAATAATTTAAAAAACAAATTACAATTATTCTGCGAAGACTACAAAAAGATAGCATAGAATATTTTCATAAGTTAAACTTTCAAATTGTTAATATGTAAATATCCATACAGGTTGACACGTCGTTATGGAAACAAATGGTGGAAGAGATATTCTACATTAAGAAAATTTCATATAACATATTTCATATACATCTATTACAGTAGGTAATATTGGGACCGTCTATTAAAGATGTACATTTACAAATGATATTTACCTTGTGCATAAAATTATTACCTTGTATAGTAAGTAAGCAACTTGCTCTTAGTTTTGTAATTTTTGTAAGTTTTTATCATATGTAAACAGTTATTTACACAAGGAGAGTAAAAAACCTAAAATTTATGTAAAAGTGCATGAATTCATACATTTCCGTTATTAACAGAGTAGTTGTTTCTCTATTTATGTAACGTTATACACTTCTTTTACAGTGTACGACGTGTGTACTAGGTGCACATGGATAAGGAACTGATGACACACCGCATCGTGAAAGGCCGACGAAGATGAATGAAATCACCCCTGTTTCTCGTGCGGAGTACTCTCTTCGATCAATGCAGTGGGCGAGTTTTCTTTTCCACTGAATGTGCAACACTCCGGATAGTCCGTGAAGCATCGTGCAAAACGTCATATCTCGACGGACGTAATACAAACGTACAAAATATCGCCCGTTGAGAATTTCGAGACTACAATCTCTCGTAGAAAACTTCACTGTTTGCTCCAGTTGACACATTGAAAAATTAGAGATTTAAAAATTGACTAGGCGCCTCTCTCTCTCTCTCTTTACACGACTGTTGAAATCAAGAGTGATTGTCATTTTTAAATGGCAATTTAAAATCGCGGCGCAATGCGGTATGTCTCGAGGCTTTATTTCGAACGTGGGTTCCGCAAGAAACACGACGAGCTTCGAGAATTTTGTTTTAGCATATAAAAAATTTTCTTAAGATTCAATGAATCCTAATAAAATTTAGATAAAATTAATTTCAGATGTACTTTACTGGCGCAATGCGTCAGGATCTCCAACAATTAGCTTCAAGGGCGCGAGTAAAAAATTTTATTGAAGAATTCAAAATTCACTTTTCACGAGTCCACGCTAGAGGAAAAGATTCACGGTCGAATCCCAGATCGGGAGGAGACTTTACCTTGTTGAAGACCAAATCTTCCGGACACGCCACCGTGCGAGGGCCAGTCTCCTCGCAGACGATATATTGCAGGCAGTCGAGGGGGTAAGGCAAAGTGATCGGCGAGTCACCCTTGACTCCCGTGGCTGGGCACTTCGGGGTTTGACATTGAGGCGACAAAGAATCTTCGGAGAGTCCACCCGGTGGTCCAGCGACGACGGAGGCAACGATCAGGCAAAGGAGCACCACGAGCCTCATTGTTTCTCTGTCGCGCAAAATCAAGAATCTTAGATACACAGCGAACAACACTAGGAGAGCATTTCAACGGTGCACACAATTGCAGAGATTTTCTAGTTTTGCAAGTGACGAGTACCAGTAACGACATTCGTCATATATTTTCTCTTGACATTTTAATCTGTCGTAAGGAGCATGCGGTGGACTTTCTATCTGCCTAAATTATTCTCCGCCAGCGAGTCGTACGTGCTGGCGAAGCTAATGTGCGTGCTTCGGCAATTTCTATCATCTAAAATGTAGCCGCTCCTACTTCCTCAGAATGGACGGCGCAACCGATACTTTAAATGCAAGCGCGATGTTGACATTTGCTCAAGTCTTACTCGTTTCACATCGCCCCACGTATAATGTACCTATGTATGCGTATGTTTTGAAATTAAGAAACTCTTTCTAATCCCAATTAGTAATTTGTATAATACAAACGAGGTGTTATAAAAGCAATTAAGTGAAACGATGATTAACTAATTATAAATTTAGATTAATTAATTTAAATGCAAAGGGAAAGCACGCGTTAGAAAATTTTTTATTTAATTTTAATTCTTTTTAATTTACCCGATTAGCTGAATATAATTGGAGATATCATTGTATTTAATTTATGGCAAATATTAAATGTATGTAAAAAAAACTGATATAATGACTCCAGAAGTCTCTTGTACCAGTTTAACAGATTTGTATCGGTGGCGCCATCCATTAACGAGGGAGGAAGCAATTCGATAAAATAATACAGCAATTATAATTTTGTAATGATATAAAAATATTGATACCAGCTTTTTCGCTTTTAATTTAAAGAAACTAATTATTTACGACATAAGTCATAAAATTGTTCGTTTAAAGATTTATATCGTAAAATCAATTATGATACCTCTTTGCAGTATTATTATCTTTAGCACAAACTTTATATATATTAACATATTTAAATGCATTAAATACTTTAACATTTATATTTTACGTTCTATTTTTGCATATGGTAATTATAGAGTTATTATTTCTGTACTACCCTAATAATAGCTTGATGTGTTTTAAAGAGATGGCGCTATGTTACAGAACTGGAGCTAATATAATTATTTCGGGATCTTTGTTTAAAAATGTTAATCAATAAATCTAACTAGACAGTTTAATCACATATGCGTATACATATATGCATGTACACGATGCACAATATAAAAATTATTTGAGTACTTTTATTATCTTCACGTACATGTATATTTTTGAAAATTAGATTTGTATTGCAAATTGCATTGTCTTTATTTTAAAATCTCTTATTCGAAATATTTAAATTGCTAAATAACAATTTTTTAAATTACACAGAGTAGTAAAATTATGAAAGAAAAAAGATATCTCACCTTAGTGCTCGACGTGGCAGCTAATCGTCGGAAATCAAGATTACCGTGATCCACGCGATGTTCCTCCTTCTTATACCTTTTATACCTCTCAATCGGATCGTGAGTCTAGGAAGCAGGTTTGGAACCCGGATAAATTTATATAAGGATAAAAGTTCGATGCACGAACGTCAGTGGAACAAAAAAAGAAGTTCTCCTTCTCGAAAGAGCTGGTTTGACTAGTTTCATAATTCACCCAAATAAACATGTCTTATATTTTGTCCATTCTCTAAGCTTAAGTTAGTCTAAATTGAGGACTACACGAAGAAAAACACAAATATTTTGTTTGTTAATAGACATATTTTTCGCAGCACCTCAAAAATATGTAAGAATAAGAAAATTAAGAGAAAAGTCCTGTATTAAGAGATAGGCTTCTAATATGAGATAGCAGGTTTTTAATATAAAAATTTAATCACAAATCTTTATTCACAACGATTGCACGATCTAACAATGAATTGTCCACTAAACGGATTTCACTCCAAAGACAATAAATTCACGATAAAATCAATAGTTGATGCCTATTAATTTAGCACAAATACTGCTACCTCATATTAGGAATTTACCTCATAATAGAGAACTTTCCTCTATATACATATAAAAAGTATCTAAAAAATTAGATAATTGTTTCTCTCTACTTTTTTCTCTACGTGACGCATATAAATACTTAAAGACACGGGACTTGTAATGTTCGTGTACGTTGCGACTGCATAGCAATTTCACTTAAATTATTTAACATGACGTTTTGACATAACAACATGGAGGTTTTGTCAGTTTCTGAATTTGCAACCAGATCAGCCGCGTCTTCTAAAAGGGCAAGATTTTTTTGTTGTCTTGTAGCAGGTGCAAAGCGCGCAGGAAAGCTCGATAGTCGAACTCCAAGCGGCCATTTCTTTCAATGGAGAAGCACTTGTAAACGGCATCCAACTCTCTACTATTGATAAGCTCTAGCATCCGCCTAGCCGACAATGTTCTAATCAAGTGTCCCTTGAAAACCGTGCCGGTATTCACTTTGTCGTAGTCCTAAAGAATACACAATTACCAAATCGCTGCTGCTTTTCCTCGAGAGAGAAAAGGAGAAAGGAAGAATACATTTTTTTTAAATTGTGTGTTTGATTTTACCGTGTGTGTTGCAATATAATTTATCGCAGCTGCACTCACTTTGAAAATCTCCTCCAGATTCGGCTTCCGCGTTTGGCACAGTTTATCCATCGCGATTGCTACCGTCTGTCGTTCGTCGAAATTCATAAAGGTTCTGCCGCTTGCCTCGGAGGGCACGTGTTGTAAGGGGATCACGAGCGGAACTTTTTCCAAGCCCCCCGTCGTAACGGCTTCTTCCACGACCGTTGCGAATTTCGTGTATTCGACGAAGTCGGGCCTTCGGTAAGAAACGCGAAGAAATATATTGCGATTTTATAAAATCAAACAATTTGTGTACAAAGAAGACAAGTGATAAATAATTCGGAAAATAAAAGTTGCTTAGGATTTCGCTGGATCACAAAATATACTCTTTTATGTATATCTGTTCCTACGTATATTTTCCATTATTCCTATCGATTTGTTCTGATTTTTCGAAAGTAACTTTTATTTTCAATATTATAATGTCTTCGTACTTTAGGGAGGCCTGGAAAACTTTTGTAATCGTATCTACTTCGGCGGTTGTCAAATCGCAGCGTAGCTGATCAAGACTCCTAATAAAATCAGATTTCGCAATAACAAGCTGGTTAAGTCTATCAAATTGGCACATAAATTCGAGGACCTGCAAGCAGGCAAGGATTGGCGAATTAATTCTGACTCAGTCGATTGTCTCTGACAATCAATTAATGACAAATATAAATTACTTTGATTCTTTCGCGCACGACTTTAGCCTTAATTTTAGCCAAGATCAATACAATGTTAGTCTCGTCCTCGTGAGGTTCAGACGGTGGTTTTTCAGCATTAAGTCTCCTTTTATCCCCCAACATGCGATGGTACAGTGGTTCTACGATCGGCTGGAGCTCCAGTTCCTGCAGGAACCGAGTATAGTTGAAGCCCAGATCGTCATTGTATCTTTGCTCCAAAGCAAACACTTCCTCCGGAGACAAGAGTATGGTTGCCGTGATAAGGACTTGTCTTAATTGAGCTCGCGTCACGTGACCGCAATTATGTCTGCAAAAATACAATTGATTCAATTGGTTTAAAACTTATTAATACCTCTTGATTATATTTTAATTAACAATATATTTTATTTGTGTTTTAATCGTACACGAAGCTCTTAGGTAATGAACAGGGCGATCTTCCAAGCAATATTGTATTAAATTATTTATTATATTTTTATTATATTAAAATTAGTGTCCTCATTAATTGTACATGTACATTATACAATTTAAGTATTAGATGTATAGAGAGGTTCTTTGTTTAAATTTTCCTTATGCCATTTCGTTAACAATTGTTTGAAGTGATAAGTACTTGTCGTAATCCTTGAAAAATTGCTTCAAGAGAACTCGCCTCTCTTCAACTCGCTGCCTTACCCTCTGCAAGATATCTTCACAAAGATCTCTCACGCTCCTCGGTTGGCACTGCCAATTTGATGTGCCCCTTAGAGGTAATTCAGCTATTTCTTGAGGCGGTGATTCCACTTTTAAGCTTGGCAATTTGTCAAGTCCTTTCACGGTGAAAACTGAGTAACGATATGCATTAAGGTAGTAAAACGAAAATGGTAGTAGAAATAAGGAGGAAATATACGGAGAACAAACATCGTTTAAACTGGGATATATTGACACAACTTATAAAATTACAATGCATATATTTTTGTTATTAATAAATGTATCGAACAAAATGGACATCTCGTGAAAGTTTGTTAGCTATAATTAACAGCAACTAGCTATAGCTGTGTACAAAATATTTCAACTCAACAGTCTTGTATAAAATCTCTTGTACAACATAATTTATCATTTAAAAAGTGATCTCGGTTTTTCCCGTTCTAAAATGCTCTTTGAAAAATTCTTTTTATTTGCGATCTGTTTATTCTATTATATTCTCATTTAAATCAACTCAAACTTTTTGTTTCATTATTTTTTATGCAATTAATAATCTAAATATCGTTATAAAAATGTTGCAAATTTTCAAAAAAACGCGTTATCTTTCAAGTATTTTATTTCTTTATCACTTTATCTTCGAAACGTTTCATCTCTTCGTCTCTTCATCTTCTAAAGACTTTATTATTTTATCCTTTTCTCTTTCAAGAGAAAGATCCCATATAGCACCAAAGCTTTCAGAAACATTTCAGAAACATTGTAACATTGCAATAATGTTTTCCGAAATGTTTCTGAAAGCTTTGGTGCTGTATGGGATACTACAGTTACAGTGGAAAAAGCGTCTGTTCTCAGGATATTTAAAAACTTTGTATTTATTATATTTCACCTCGATCTATATCATCCTCAAACATATGCCAACACACGCGATCGGGATCCTCTGGATCTTTGTAAAGCGCGATCAGGGCATCGACTTCCGGCTCGACCAACCAGAGACGGCCCAAGGACGATATCTGAAGAGCGTCCAATGCTCTTCGAAATTGCGAAACGGTCACTCGACCGACATTCAGATATTCGAAACCCTACTGTCCAAATCGTTCAGTTCTTAATTAACGAATTAAATTCTGTTAAGATTAATCTCGCGCGATAACGGGAGGACGCAATAACGACAGATCGTTACGCGTATAAGTAATGAGTCGATTAATCCGCGCGTATATGAGATTTCGGTATACGCTAATTGATAATAGCATAGTATAACTAGTAGATCCACTCTCTGTCGGCCCTTTTGATCTTTGCGGTCCCGATCACGTGGTATTCCGCCATGTCTTTGCATGTGTACGTACTGTAGTTGTACGTGTGGTAGTATAGCTTTAATACATTTTCTTTTTTTCTCTTTGACTGGACCAACAAAATGTCGAGTGCGCAGGAGGGATCGACGCAAAACGAAACAAATGACAGAGTGGACCTACTAGTTATACTATGATGCTAGTTACTCTCTCAATTTTTTGGAGTGGAATCTCACTCTTTTGGAGAAGAACCGTCCCGGCCCGTAACAGGGTCCCTTATACCCTTAAGAAAAAATGCGACAACCTTGAAAAACTCGTGGATCCGTATGCGATGCTCGAGAATGTGTCTCTGGATGCGTTTAACGACTTCTGGTGTAGACATCGTCTCTCTCGTCCGTTCTATTACCGGATGAAACACTGTTTGCTTACCGAACACTTGACTGGGCGCGATCTTACCAATTTCCGGTCGTGGGAGTTTCGGCAGCTCAACCGTAATTATTCTACCGGGAAATTGATCCAACAATTCCTGCGAAATAGAGCGGAGAAAGTAAAACCTGGAGTATATTCCAAGAGAACGTGTATTGTGTTTCGATTCTCTAACTAGGTGTAAGAAATAGATATATGAAGATTATAAAAAAGCAAAAGAAGGGGAGTTTCCAAGTGTAGTACCCCGCCGAGATCCACCATTCCATGCTCATCAAAATAGCGCTGGACCTCATTGACAGCTTTCACGAACGCTACATAATTTACAGTGTAAACGTCTTTGGCAAATCTCTTCACGAGCAGACGAAACTCCTCAGCGCCAAGGACGATGCCCAGAAATTTTAAAATCCGACCAAAATGAGCGAGAGTAACCGTGCCGACATTCTTCGCAATCTACAAAGCATCTTACAATTAGAATGAATCAAAAGCTTGTAAACTTTCTTATTACTTACTTTCATTTAAAACAACTCATTTTTAAGTGACTGTATTACTTTTATTTATTAATATCTTTTTAGAGTGAGAAAGTGTCTTAAAAATGCAAAAGTAAAATCTCTAATGCTTCTTAATGTGTGCAATAGAAACTCTAAGAAATAAATACATTTAAAAATATTAACTTATTACCAGCGAATATACATATGTTAAGGTTAGCATAATTATTATGCTTGCCATCAAGGATACAAAAATCTAGGACTAAATTACAGAGGTGATAACCGTCGGTAACCGTAATGATTCAAGGATAATTTATGTCGAACGTACCAGCTCGTAATCTTGAAAGTATGGCCGAAGAACAATTTTCCTTTTGCTCACCAAGACGGCGATTTGAGTGATTATCAAATTCAATTTTCGTGTCTCCGTGCCGCTCAGAACATTCACATGCAACGGTTCCTCCCATTCCAAACCAGTTACGAGGGTCTTGTTCTTTCCAAAATCAGGTACTATCGAGAGATATTGCGGAAATTTATTACAAAATAATGTAATACAGTACGTATATCTTGTTTTATCAATTCAATCACATTGAATTATTATATGTATATATGTAAAATGCATATCAGAGATAAGTAAATCTCAATTGATAAAACGCACAAAATAAAATAAAAATGAAAAGCAAAAGGATATTATACATATATATCGAAAAAGGCGAAAGAGGGAAAGGGAGAAGGAGAGACTCAAGATAAAAAGAAGAAAGTAGCTAAAATGCAAAATGTTGGTATTTTATTTAATCGAATTTTAATGACAAAATTTGTTGTGCCATGCTCAGTTAGAACAAATGCAAAGAATAAAAAAGTAATTTTTTATTTCTAAAATAAATAATTTTGTAATAAAGTATTAACGATTCGTTTATAATTTCTGTTTGCTCGTTTCGAGAGTAAAACATTTCCTGAAGAAATGCATTTTTTCTCCCGAGTACTCGTAATATTGCCCACCACTTCTCCCTTTTAAGCTTTCTTTGTTAATGTTCATAATTAACCTTGGAAACTCGCTTAAGCGGATGATTCGGTGCTTTCGCTTTGATCAAGAGATAACATTTTGACATTTGCCGTGTAAGCTCGAGAAACGATAATTATCGAGAATTTTCTAAAAATACATTTTACATAAAAAAAAAAACCGTTCGTACCGCTGTCGTGAATAACTTCGCAAAATTGCGAATAAAGAATCCGGCCGTCCTGAACACGAAAATAATCCGCCAAGTCGCAGATCTCTCTGTCCGCTAAGCCAATCACGCCCTTCAGTGGTCCAGCCAAAACAGAGATAAATTTGGACTCTGCGGATTTAATAATTGACACGAATGTACATACATGCCTCAATTATTATGTGCTATTATTGCCCAGTAAATACCAACTAAGAGTTAGGTAACACGTACATTCAACAATGTACATTCCCTTATACTGACAAGCTATTGATCAAAATTAGACTACTTAAACCAATGAATTGTTCATCACAAAATTTAATAGCTAGGTACTCTGAAAATACTTGCACAATAATATTTTTTTGAGATTAAATTATTTTGCAAATCTGAATTCATTTCTTAAAATCATCAAGGTACTTTTGAATATTTACACCTCTCGCATCAAATGTTAACTTACTAAATTTCAATACAAATCTTGAAAACTATTGACATATAAATGTAGATTCTAGTTATAGCTAACAAGAAAAGAAATCGACTTGATTCTGTTGTTAAAAGAGCATTCGGTAATTTTGAAAAGTTTTGATAAAATGATAGATAAAAAAGAAATAATTGAGCTAACAAAGTATTATAGAAATCTAAATGGGAGTAATCGTATGTATTATCTCGACGTTTTTCCTATCGAGCGTCCAGAAATAATCGCTCCCACTAGACAGCTAACTTTAGAAACGCCTGAAGTGATTGCCGGTCTCGGTGCCAATGTCCGATGTTTATACCTGATATTAAGCAACGTTTGTCGGGATCCAGGGGCCTGTAATACTCCCAAAGATCGAGTCCGACGCGGAACACGGCGGCTCGTATTTTATTGCAAGTACGCCAGACATCATGCAGCTTCAGAACCTAAAATCGCTCTTTCTATCAGAGTGTTTAGGACGACGTGCTCAGGGGGGAAAGTCCCATCCGCGATTTCCTGTCATCGGAAAACGACGAGATAGGCATCCGCTTTTACCTCCTGTTTCCCCGGCATGTTTGTACAATTCCTTCCGCGGGTCTCACGAAAATTTTACGCGACGCTGAGATCGACGAAATCGTGCAAATTTAATTTAGTATCGAGACAAAGATCGATCGCGCTGAAAAAGTATGTACAGGGTAGCTTGAGATAAATATTAGACTGCTAATCTCCCTCCCAAGTTGTCGAACAGTGAATATTAAAATTTATTATTTTATTTGCAGTTTGTATTTCTTAACTTTATATTGAGCTTTAATTCTTTTTTAAGGTTTATCTAATGGTAACATCAAATGTTACATGGAGGAATATCTATTTTTTTTTGTACGTATAGAATATAAAACGCGTATAATTCTTAATCACATCCTGAGAAAAAAATTTTTATGCATAGTTTATAGATCTCTTTATATAAAATTGTGTTGAATATACGAGATGTATCCGAATATACAATCGGGTGCATATAATAACATTGAAGTTGTTATGCGTTTGTTAAGTTATTACTTTAAATTTACTTAAAATTTTTGTAGATTTGATTTACTTTTAAGAGACCGTTAATAAATACATTCGGAATATTTTTTATCCCAAACATGCAATATGTATATATTTTACATTGCAAGAATTTCATGTTATTTTATGCATACCGAATATTTCATATGTAACGTCGAGAGAAATATTGTATTATACACATATTACATTTTCGTCTTGACGCGCGTCCATGAAAAGGCACCTTTAACCGAAATAAGATAAAGGTGTGTTTTCAATGTATCTTTCAATGTATAAC